AGAGGAGGTTGCGATGACTGACATGTACTGCTGTAACTTTTGCTGTTCATCAGGTCACAAATGTCAATGAGTCACTTTCTCAAATAAACGAGCTGCTAGATTGAGCAGCGTTTCTTTCTTCTTTTTTTGGAAACTCAGCTTGAGATTCTTTATGTGAAACTCTGCTCTGGTTTCGATTCTGTCATAAAACGCCGGAGCTTTTCTTCAAGAAAGCATGCTCCCTCTCAACAAAGACTGGATGATGAAGACGCAGAGGCGGTGACTCTGACCATGAGCAGAGGAAGCACCAGTGACTTTAACAAGCGTGAGGAATGTGTTAGGGAGATTTTCTTTGCCCGGCCTGTTGTTGTTCCTTTTACCAGACCTGTCACGGCTCCAGCTTGTGAATACCTTGATTGTGCTTCCATCAAAATGACCCCCCCATCACCCTCCTTCATCAGACCAGCAGAAAAGAAAAACATCTTTTGATGTCATCTGAAATTTCACACAACAATGCAGGATGATCTGATTTGAGGCAGACCCTGTCTGGCAGTGCAGGCCCTTCCTTCCCTCCTCCTCCTCGTGCTCTTGATAACTTCTGCGTGTGGAGGACAATAGCTGCTTTTGTTTTCCGAGCGTGCAGTGACGACTCGAGGTCGTGGGCGTCGCGCGGCCCCGCGCGGCCTTCCTGTGAATGTGCTTCAGGTGGAGCAAGCACGACGAGGTGGAACCCCGCATGGAGCGGGACTCGGAAATAAAAGCGCCAATCTGCACACGCAGGGGGGAAGCCTATTATCCCGGCGTGATTATAATGCAGACAGATAGACGACAGGTAGGCAGAGTGGATAAGAGCGTTAGCTCGCGAGACGTGATGAGCTGACAAGAGAGACAATCTCCCTCCTAAACCGGAGAGATAAGGTTGTCAACCACAGCTTTGACTCTGACACACACACTGCTTCTCTATGTAGGCAGTCAGATAGATGGCACTGTACGGGCACTATAAAAACACACACTGTTAAGATGTTATCGTGTACAGTGCGGACTGTCTGTTTATGTTTGCGCGCACAGGGTTACATTTGCACGTTCGAGCGCACGCACATTCAACTGTGAAAGGATTAGTGTGTGTATGTCAAAGACAGAGGGAGAGGCACCCACAGAAAGATAAACGAGGAAGTGTGAACACATTAAGTACACTGTGTAGATATTGTTTGTGGACCTTTCAGCTCAAGGAAATCCTTGTTTCAACATTCTGTCCTGGCTGGAATGTTGCCTGCGAGGCTCTTTTTAAGTGTTTCGGTCTAAATGCCATGTCTGCTACACCCCATGAAACTGTCTTAATCCACTTTTTTTTCCCCCTTGGTTTTATTACTGCTGGAGAAAACACTTGGGGTTGAGCAGAGCCCCAGCCTCAGGCCTCTATTCCCATTCCACACACCCCATAAGTCAGTCACAGATAATTAAATAGGAGTTATTTACACTCGTTTTCCCTCCTCTGCCTCTTTGGCGCTTTTATCATTTCTCTCTCCTCTTTGTACAGTCTCGGCACATATCTTTCAGACGCCGACGTTATGGCCGAGGCCAAAAACGGTCGCGGTCCGACGCCAAAAACTGCAACGGTTGTGAGGCGGGCAGCCAGAGGGGACGTTGTTTCCACATCCTACGGTGTTCTAGTCTTACAAACCAGGAAATATGGATCATATTATGCTATGAAAAGAGCAAATGCACGTGTCCACATTTTTCCATTTGACCATTAAATTGGTGGTGTATCTGACAGTTAAACTGTTGTTATCAGCAGCCACACGTTGCCAGCTCCATGCTCAGTAATTAGGTGTTTATTATGGGACACCATTTTTTAAACATGGTCATGCAGTTTGTTTATATGTATCTATAAATGGTGAGCCTCTTCGTATATGTGACTGTGAACTTTAATTACAATCTAAGCATGTTAGCAATGTGTGTGGTAATACCACATTCCACATGGCTCACAAGTCAGATCTCAGAACTCGGGGGTGACAACATTTCTGAGTTAAAGCGTTCCAGTGGGAAAGTTGCAAAAGCGTGTTTGTTTGTTTTGTTTCTTATCAAGGTAGAGCCATTCATGTACCACTAGCAATTAGGAATGGGAACCGAGAACTGGTTCTCATAGAAAACTGGCTCCCAAGTAGTCCGATTCCTTGAAACTGTGAGTCCGCCTGCCTGTCGATCCCGGTTATCGGTTCATGCAATCGCGCTACAATCAGCTGATTTTAGAGGAGGAAAAGAGCGATGCAGTCTAGAGCGCGAATATGCACATTTATGCATGCTAACACTTAGCTAGCCAAGAACCCAGGGTGAAAGCTGAGTGAATGCAGCCAGACCCTGAACTTCAACAGGTAACAAGCAGATGAGCAGTCACTCATCTTGTTTATGGCTTCACTTAGCAGATGCAGAAGTTGCCTTTTCCATATAGTTATATTAGTTATGTGGCTAGGATGTAAATTTTGCATGTTATTGCTCGTATTTTCTAGATTATCTTTTTTTTCCACCTAGGTTTGTTTTGTTCCAGTCTAATAAAATAAATAAAAAAATAAAACAGACTAATATACAAAAACACTTTGTTGCGAGAAAGCACAAAAAATACTTGAATGTGCTTCATGGATATAATAAGGCAACATCTTGGACCCTAAAACCTTCACAATTTTAACTATGAAATAAATGTTCAGACATTGGAAATTTAATGTCAAGATCATTGTAAGGGCAGAAAATGTTTGCTGAGGGACCCAGCCAGATCTTGTCAAATTCTGGCTGACACCAGTGACAACATGTAGAAGTGTTGGGGAAACAAAAAAGACTCAAATGAGTGCACATCAATGTCATCTCCTCATTAAACGATCACACAGCGTCTACACGAGGCTAATCCCCGCGTGCGCCACAAAACTCCTCAGCAATTCCAAACATGGAGCAAAGACAAACGAGCAGATGAGGATTTGCTTGAGCCAGGTTTGAAGAATTCAGCTGCCTAATGTCAGCATTATATATTTACTCTGGAGTCAAGCAAAGGCAGCTTTTCAACACAGGAATGAATTAGACCCCACCACAGAGCTATAGCGTCCATTACAGGCCTCAGCGGCTTTATAAATCACAGGATCACAGGGGCATGTGGGGTCCGCTCCTCCTCAGCCCCTATCGGCCCCCATCCTGGGGAGCAGGGGGTGGTTTGTTTGGCTGCTGTTCCAGCCAAACCCAAGGCTTTGATACAACCATGGAAAAGGCATGGAAATGCCTCAAGGGCCAGCAGGACCTGGGCATGCTGAGAAAACCCTTTAACAGAAAAGCTGTCGCCTTAAAATATCCACAACAGGAAACAGCCATCAGTCATCGACACGCCAAAACAGCTGTTACCAGCCTACATCAAGGGGACACATGAAAGGAGTTGCTCCCTGTTGTTTGAGCCCTCCCTTGTTTCATTCTCTTGCTGCCTTTGTCTGGCTTTTCCCAGTGCCCTCCTCCTCGGTCTCCTTTTGGACGCCCCTTCCTTATCCAACCCCACCTACGACTTACCCACTCACCCTTTTAACAAGTGGATGACTGTGTGGTAAACAATAAGACACACGACTTAACCGGCTGTCTACGTTGTAAAAAAAAAAAAAAGAAAGAAAGAAAGAAAGAAAGAAAGAAAAAAATCGTAAGCTCTCAGCGTTACCTTTGCATATCGCAGTGAGTGCGTCACCTGTTTATGTGTCTCGACCCGAGGTGGCGACAGACAGGTTTAAACAAACAGACAGGAGACTGTACCACCGCACTTAGCCTGGCGGCGTGCACGTTCACATATTCTTGGATCTCTTTGGGTCATTGGAGCGTGAGTGGCAGCGTGTGGGTGATGAATGATGACTAAGCCTAATGATGACAGGTCAAACAGTGATGCTGTTGAATGAGGCTGAAGTGACTTCATCCTCCTCACACTGACTTTCCACTCAGCTGCAGATAAATGGCAGCGGCCATTAGAATCAAGGCGCTAGGCTGATGGCAGTGCCTCTTGATAAGGCCGGCTTGTGCTGTGAAATGTCTAACAGTTTTACCTATTTAACCTCAGAAGAAAGGGCTGTTCTGATTTCTCTTTAGCCAGTAATCAGTGACCCATGAAACTACTTTAAACATGCTGACTGTTACAGTGTTGTAATATGTTGGATTATGGATGGGGGAGTTAGAGCCAAGCCATCTGATTGGTAGGAGGTGGCATTTAAACCGGGATGGAAATCCCCATAAAGCACAGCTTGTTGTTCTTTATAGAAAATGAAATTCAATTACTGGCTTACTAATTTGGCAGCCAAGGAGGGACTCTTTTGCAGTTTTATTTTATAAGCATGTATGAGTTGGAGAAGAGTTCTCAAAGTACCATTTCTCATAATTACAATAGCAACTGTCATTCAACTCTTAACATGCCAGTGTTTTGAGAGGGCGGGGACGTGAATGCACAAAACAAGATGGAAAGATATCATGTGCTGTCACAGCAAAATACATAAAACTTGAATCATGTGAATTTGCTCTAAGCTAGAAAAATTGAGTTATGTCCAGCAGAGATGGCAGCGGGGCTGTGATAATGCAATAAAGCTATTAACATGCCAGAAATGCCCATGGACAGTAGGTTATTATTATTTTGAATTACACGTACCTTATTTCCATGAATGGCGTTGGGTACATTCAACAGAAAACTACACACGCAGTTAGTTCCCAGCAGTCGGGAGACGTTTGCGTGTGGAAGCACTGTGGATAAAGTTCCTGCTGCTTAAACTGCTCTCAGATCTGTGGTGCAAATATTTTACTGCTACTTTATGTGTAGTTTGCACTGGGCTTATGGAGGTCACTGACACAGATTTCCACCTACATTACAGCCCTGGGTTAGAGGGTGAGGCTGGGAGACAAACGCCCCTCTCCTCCCTCACCCCACTCCACCCCATCCTCGCTCCGCCCCTGCTTGTAAATGCGGGCACTTATGATTGGACGGCGGCTCCTTGCTTTGAAATCCCTCCCTTCCCGTCTTTAGTATGTGGAAGAAGTGAGGTATTGTGAGGCTGCTGCAGTGGGAGAGAAACACGCACACGGGAGGACTGTCGCACACTCTGTCCGTTGCGGGGATATTCCTTCAACTTACCCGTTATTTTGAAGAGCAGTGACTACTTGTGGTGTTTTTGTTTCCATCTTCTCCAACACTGGATAAGGAATATTTAGGAATAACTGACGGGTAATATTAAAGAGCCCCATAAAGGATGACATTTGGGCGATTTGTTCCTCTGTAGAGCCAGCTTTGGTCCGACACGAAGGACGCGCACAACGCACTGCCCTGTGGATTACTGCACTCTCTCTTTTTTTTTAAAGTTCATCACCATGAAATGTGCTTCTAAATGAAAGTGAACCCCGCGTCCACCCGTTACATGCCTCCGTCCCTCTTTGCGCCCCGATCCAGATGAGAGATCTCCCCGGTGGACCTGAACCGCTTTTACGCAGCCAGTCCCCGGAACGCAGCCCCGCCGACGATCCACACCGGACAGGAGCGGAGAGACCGTCCGTTCCCACACCCACTCCTTGTCTTTCTCCCTCGGATCCTTCGCGCCAGGCTAAAAGGCTTCCTATCCGGATCGTAAAGATGTTGACGGCGCACAGCGGCCACTTGCTGCACCCGGAGTACCTCCAGCCTCTCACATCCGCGCCTGCCAGTATTGAAGTAAGTGGATAAGAAAAAAAAAATTAAGATATGTCTGCGGCACCAGATGTCGTTTTTCTCTTTGTCTTTTTCTTATTCTTCTTAATTTAAATTATTTCTTCTTAAATCCACGGGTGTAGGAGGGCTGGAATGTTATCCGACGAAAATCCCGTCTGCGCCATTTTACGCACGGCAGTTTTTTGGGGGCAAAATGCAAAACACCAGAGTTTATAAATACAAAATGACTGCAACTTATAGACTTTTTTAAAAAATCGCCACTTTAACACCACGTTGTTAATCGTTCCGTTTGTATTTATGGAATGTTTACGATGTTTTTCATTTTCTTTTCTTCGTTTTTACCTAAACTTTGCTTCAACTTTCACTCTCTGACGTCTTTTATTCATTTCACTGTTGAAAAATTAGAATATAATATCTCGGAATTTATTATTTTTTTATCTGTATGGGTTTTATGGTGTAATGTTTGATTTGCTTTAAAAAAAATCTTTTATCTATTGCTTTTGTTTTTGTTTTTCCTCAGCTGGATGCCAAGAAGAGTCCTTTGGCCCTGCTGGCACAGACCTGCTCTCAAATTGGTAAACCAGACCCCCCCTCTTCCTCCAAGTTGGCCTCCCTCTCCTCCAGTAGTCTGGGAGACAAGGAGCCCTCCAGCCGGTCATCCAAGTCCGGAGAACAGCACCAGTCCCTGGAGGACAAATCCAGCTTCAAGCCTTACTCCAAGTCATCAGGCGACTGCCGTAAGGATGTTCTGGTGACGAAGGGGCCTTCAGATAAAGCGTCTTTCAGGGTGCCAAATGGAAGCTCCGGTGGTGGTTCATGTCCATCTTTCCCTCCCCATTCACGGTCACCCGGCTCTAGTTCTCCTCCCCTGCACAGTCAGAGCCAGCCCCACAGACAAAGTCATTCCCCTTCCATACAGCCCCCACCACACTCGCAGGCTCCACACGTGGACAGCAAACCTGGGAGCTCAGAGCCAGCCAGCTCGGACAGTAATAGCAACAACGCTGGTAAAAAAGACTCAGATGCAGCTAAGTCAGGCATGGATGGTGCACAGTTAGCCAACTCCAGCCACGTACGGGCCAGCGCCAACTCCAGCAACGCCAGCTCTGCAAGCAGCCCGCGGCCAGAGAGCAAGGCTGACCCGCAGGCCTCCTCACAGTCCAGTCTGGGCTCAGGGCACATTGCCCCAGTCTCCCCATTTAAACCAGGACACTCTGTCTTCCCCCTACCCCCTGCTTCTATGGGCTACCATGGCTCCATTGTCGGGGCTTATGCCGGCTACCCGTCCCAGTTTGTCCCTGGCTTGGACCCTACCAAATCTAGTTTGGGTTTAGGACTTTCAGGGAAGCACCCCAGCTCCAGCCCACTCACTGGAGCCTCACCCCCATCTCTGATGCAGAGTTTATGTCGGGACCCTTACTGTCTGAGTTACCCCAATGCACCCCACCTAGGAGGCAGTAACTGCTCCACCTGCGTCCATGACCCTTCGAGCCTCAAGTCTGGTTTTCCCCTGGTTTACCCCTCACATCACCTTCACTCTCTACACTCTAGCTCCTTGTCCTCCAGCACGACCCCCTCTCTTTCCCACCCCCTTTACACGTATGGTTTCATGCTCCCTAATGAACCGCAGCCTCATGCCTGTAACTGGGTGTCTGTTGGGGGTCCCTGTGACAAGCGTTTTGCAACATCAGAGGAGCTGCTGGCCCACTTGCGTACCCACACAGCCCTGCCTGGTATGGTGGACACTAAGTTGTTGTCTGCCTATCCGTCATCGGTTTCATCGACAGCTTCCTGCCATCTCCACTTGCCCCCACCCAGCAGCCCGGGTACCCTGCCCAGTTCCTTCTCCCTCCGTGGCTCTCCTGGCTTGGGTCTGGCACGCTACCACCCCTACAGCAAATCCCACTTGCAAGGAGCCCCAGGACTTCCCATGCCATCCCTGCCCTCCTCCTCAGCCTACTACTCCCCCTATGCCCTCTACAGTCAGAGACTGGGCTCAGCCTCAGCCCTTGGATACCAGTGACATCCAAAACTGCGTTGATGCCCACAGACTGCAGGCACCAGCTTGGGATTCTCCAGAGCAGCCCTGAAGATGGATAGTCAAGATTGGGGTCATCACCAGTACAGGGCATCGTGCCTGTTGGCCTGCCTGCCAGGAACACCACCTGTTAGCCTCAGGATTGCGACTGGTGCTCCAAAGGCAAAAGACTGATGGATCAACTGCAGCAGCAGAGATAGAACAGACTTTGGTGATCTAAGACGGGTGGGAAGCAGAGCTTAAAAATGATAAACTTGTCTTGATTTCTTTTGTTTTTCTCAATATCTCTCCTAGATCTTAAAAAGTCTGTATTTATTTTTCACTCAAGCGCTTGGTATTCAACTCCTGAGGGTTGGAAGTTTTGCTGTCCAAATGAATTCTAACTGAAAAGGAATGATTTAAGTATACTACCATTATGCCTATCATACACACACAAAAAAAGTTGCACCATAATGAAGATGGATTGTGAGGTTTTATTCTGAGAACCTCTTTTTTAATTTTCTTTCCTTACTGCTGTTTTGTTTTCTTTTTTCCTCATCCTTCACTGCGTTATTCAGACTCTGGAGAATTGCATGTCTTTGAGAATTATCTTGAACAATGCCATTATTTTTATTTGTACATATGCAAAGATGTAATATTTTTTCAAGCTTACATGGGGTCAGCAAGCTACAGTCTCCCAAACAAATGGTGCAGAGATTAAAAAAAAACAAACAAACAATATACAAAGAAAAAAAAATCAATGATGGCTGTGCTATCCCACCAATAGGAGAAAGTCTTATTTTGTTAAATAAATGATACATGATTGCATTTCAACTTGTTTTTTTTCCTCTTTTCTATTCTATATATAGCATCATGAAGTATCTTTTTGTCTCGAGCATCAGAGGACACAGTAAATCTCGCCAGACTGCAGCACTGCACTTATCTAAGCCCATCTATCATACTGGCTCTCACAGCCGCGCTATATGTGGCTGTGTGTAATATTTCATGGCTCATATCAGTTGACAGGGCCGTCCTAAAGAGGCCACGCCGGGTCACATTAGCCCTGTTAGCGAGTCTCTGAAGACTTTCATCCCACCTACTCTTCAATGCCCACATTGCTTTTGTTGTTGCGGGTGCTGCGCTTAATTGCTGATTCTTGTTTGTGAGGCCTGGAAGCAGCCACCTCAGCAAAGAGGACGGCTGTGCCGGGTCACTGGGACTTCAATAATGACCTGAGGGAGACGTCGACCTGGGAGCTCCTCACGCTCTGACGGATTGGCCTGAAACACAAAGGCCAGAGCTGACAATGGGAGGCGGTTAATAGAGAAATATTCATCAATGTGCTGACACCTCCCCTGAGGAGAGCCGGCTCTCTTGCAGGAACCGCAAACATGGAGGCCACTGTCCTGATGCGAAGAGCCATTTTCTGTGCTGTTTGGCTGCTGCCCCGTGGTTTACTGAAGTCAGCATTCTCCACTCAGAGCTGCTGGATGCTAATTTAAAGGGAAGGACTCGGTCTATCTTAAAGCCACACCACTGCCATTAGTGCTTCAGCCCTGATAATGTATCTGTGGCTCCACTCTATTTGGCTGACAGGGCGTAGGTGGCGCAGAGCGCCGTGGCTGCGGTCTCCAAGGTGGCTATTGACCCCGACTCCCAGACTCCTCCACTCTCGCGCTTCATTAGCACTCCAGACAGGGGAGAGGCAAGCACAGGTGTCACTTGACAGGACCATTAACAAAATGGATGACCCTCCCAAACCACATCCAGCCCCTGCCACACCAGCAAGGTCACGGCGCCCTGATCACCACTCTGGATAGCTCTTTGGGACAATACGCCTATTTTTCTCATTTAGAAACCAGAGCCAGGCACTTGTCTGAGAGAGGACAGACTTACTTTCATGTTCTTGCTTTTCTTATGTCATTTATGAAGTAGTCTAGACAAAATAGGTCAAGGATGCAGTGTATTTCTTTTGAAACTTGCAGAGTTGTGGTGCTAGAGGTGTAGTGGATTATGTTGCCCCCTAAAGTTGTGCAGGTGAAACACAGGTGAAAAATGAAGCGATCGTCACTGTTTTCTTGCTTTTGATGCACATCTATGCAGCTGCTGGGATGCTGTTTTACAAACTATGCACAGAGACCTGGTTACACCGGCCTGAATCTGAAGATGATTCACACTTGGAGGTCACGCAGAGGGGAGAACTTTCAATCTTGTCGGGAGGGTGGTGGAATTAATTCCACTGTTGCCAGTTTACACTCGTTCATCAAATGCCTCACTATTCTCCCTATCCCGGCGCTCATCAATCTCCTACATCTATCTTCTCTCCCCCCACACACACTCTCACAGCTGAGTCAACACCCACACACTCCATTTATGTCGCCTCCGCAAGACTCTGTGTGTGTGTGTGTGTGTGTGTGTGTGTGTGTGTGTGTGTGTGTGTGTGTGGGTGTGTATCCAGCACTGATCTTTTGTTCACAGAGTGCTTACACAAATGTCCCTTTCACCAAAAATGGAGATTTTTTTAAATAAGGGTACAGTTGACGATATTTTTCAGCATAACCAAATATCTCTGTTCTGAAACAAAACAGTGCACGCCTTTATACTCTGAGATATGTGCAGACACGTACACGTAAGCTCAAAATGATCATGTATGAATGAGTAATAACTCTTTCTTATGCTTGTCAGCACATGCACATATGTAAATGACTGTAAAAACAACAAAAAGAAAAAAGAAAAAAAATATTTAGATTTAAATTTCATCACACTAAAAATAATGAAATGAAGCGACTTTGAGAATGTTTTTAAGAGTTACATTTGTAGAAAAAGAACTGAGTTAATTTATTTCTTCTGAAACACTATCTGACTCTGGTGGGTTGAGTGTGTCTTTACTGTGGTACTCCACAGTAAAAATATAGCAATTTTCCAAGTAATTTAACCCGTTTTTAAAGTAAATATGACAAATATAAATTTATTCTGCTGAATTTCTGCTCTGCTTAATCTTTGTTGCGCTTGATTAAAAATAATACTTTTCTTGTTTTTCTAAAGAGGGTGACTCCGTCCTCTACAGACTCCCATGTAGAAATATCTCTCTTTACAGCAGATCTGCAGCCTGGTTAAGACAAAAAATATTCCAGTTAGTGAACTGGAGCCCATGTTTGTCACATTTGTACCTGTAGGAGTATTTTCATTGGGTCTATCCATATGTCATATCAGCACTTGCAGTGTGGTACACACTTTTCAAAAAGTGAAATTATAGTGTTTTATTAGTTTGCTACTTAGGACTAATTAGCAAGTATGTACAGTTTATGGATGCCATTTGCTAACCAAGCTAGCCAGTATTAGCTGCAATCTTAGCACTCCACCCTTTCATCCAAATGAATGAAAGGCAGTCACCTATAGTTGTAAATTAATTGATAAAAAGAAAATATAATTACAATGGCAAGTTTCAAAATGTGTTCTGAAAAAAGAGTTATCGGGGGCCCATGTCCATCTTTTATATACAGTATATGTGGTCTGGGTATATCTTAACTGTTACCCCAAAGGAAGAACTACAACACTTCCCCAAATAATTCAGTATCTTATAAAATAAAACAATTATAAGGTTATTCTGTACCCTCTAAAATCTCTGTATTTCACTTGAAAAATCAATGCTTTGATTTTATAATGATTTCTCAGAAAATGATTTCTTGCTGACAACACTGATGTCGCACTCTTTTTTATCCTAACATATGATCAGAGACAGGAGTGAGCCTTGTTACACGTTGTTCTTTAAACTCATACGATATCAAAAAAATGGAAAACAAATGCTGATGTTTTCATTCAGTGTAGGACTGAAAGTGCTTCTAGTCATAAGGACAGCACAGTAATGTGCAACAATGAAAGTAATCAGAGTAGTAGTAGTAGGTAGTATCAGTGGAGGTGGTGCTGGAGGGCACTAATATTTTCCTCTCTGTGCGTCAGTGCCGAGTGCCACTGTGAGGTCCTGAGCAGCGGCTGACAGGCTCGGTGATTAATGACGACAGGGTGTGGAGCTGCTCTTCAATTAGACGCCAGCTCTACCCCGGCTCACGTCTCTGCTGACAGCCAGGACAGAGAGAGAGAGAGAGAGCGAGAAGGGTTTTTCAGTCTCTCTCTCTCGTTCTCACTGTGTCTTCAGAACAAAACATTAACCTCAACTCCATGACTACCACCTCTGTGTTTAACATCAGGACACAATACAGAGCCTTCGGCATCCAACAGTGACCGCAGTGTTAAAGCAACCCAGATGGCGTGAACACATCCCTCATCAGGGCCTGTCACACAATCTCTGTTTTATTTCTCCACATAAGCCCTGTGACTGACTCCTCTACATGCCTGTGTCGATTCCGCTCTCATTCACGTCTGCAGCCAGCCATGCTGAAATGCTCTACGTGGAAAAAATAAAAGCCATATTAAAGACTTCCAGGTTGGTTTGCAGGGCGAAAGGTGGTTGGAACAAGTTCCTCCAACACCTCCAAGTGCAATCATGTGCACTTAATCAGAGGAAATAAACCTTTTGACAAATAAAATGCATGTGGACAATACATAGATTTAGTTGGGTGGGTCTTGGCCATCTCTCTTGGAAATGTCATGTGTTTTTGTGGACAATAGCACAAAGACACTGGGCTACGATACAGTCCTGTCTCATAAAAAATTTAATTCCCATTCAAATAAATGGCAGATTTTCCCAATTATAGTCTTAGAACTCCAATTGTAGGACTAAAAGACTAAGACTCCAATTTTTCAGAAGAGGCTTTATCCGGAAGAGAAATCCGTGAAACCTGTTGAAGAATTAAGCAACAAAAGAAGTAACATTAAAAGTGTAATATCCAAGGATACAAGGTTTTTAAAAACCCTATTTAGGACAAAGTCAGGCAACTTTTTAAACACGTTTTGTCAGCTTCGAGTTGGATTCTATTCATGTGGTAGTGATGTCCTGGTCACCACCAAGATTAAATTTAAATGCGATAGTAATTCCAAATAACTGCCTTAATAAATGCCTGGAAGGATTTAAAGATGTCAGCTCAACGTGGGACATGTTTCTAGAAGGACCTTAATTCTTCATTGCATAGATTCAAGACGATGCTAGAAATGCAGCTCAGAGATTTTGCTTCACACCGACATGACAGCATCCGATTTGTCGGCTTCACATCCATGATGTGAAACTCGTCTTCCCCCACATCTCAAATGGACAATACAGTGAACTCATTGTCATGTTCAAGAAATTATTTTGAGATGATTTGAGCTGTAATTGGATACACGGTGGTCATAAAGACACGGCCAACAGCAATACTCACGAGGACTGTGGAGTTTAAATGATGCTCGGTTGGGCTGAAGGGGCTGAAAGTGTGCAAAGAAAGCATCCCCCATAATATTACACCACCGACAACAACCCGAACTGTTCATACCTGGTGTGGTCTTCTGCTTCCTTGGCCCATCAGCTTCAAGCGATCGATATGTCGTGCCTTCAGAGATACGCTACGGCATATGTTGGTCGTAACCAGTGTTTACTTGAGTTACTGTTGCCTTCCTATCAGCTCAAAGGAGTCTGGCCATTCTCTGACAGCAGCACGGCATTTTTGAGCAGATAAGAGCCACTCAGTGAATATTTTCGCTTTCTGGGCATGTGAAGCCTGTGGATGGATCCATGGGAAAATCCCAATAAATCAGCAGTTTTTAAATACTCAGAGTAGCCACATTCAGAGTCACTTAGATCACCTTTCTTATATGTTTATATGTCTAAATGCTCGTCTGTACCCAAAAATTCTTCAATTTTTTAAAGTAATTTTCACATTTACACAGCTAAAGTT